AAATGAGTAGGCCCATTTTTATTTTTTATTTTGTATTTTGTATTTTGTATTTTATTATTTTTGTTTTTATTTTATATTTTATATTTTTTTCCTTTGTATCTTATGTATTTATTGTTTATTTATTTATTTATGTTAATATATATTTATTACTTAGCTATTTATATATTATTATATATATGTATTTATTATTATTTATCTATTATATATTATAATTTATCTATTGTTTATTTTTATTTATTTGTTAATATTTTCATTTATCTGATTATTTTCTTTTTAATTATCTATTAATATTTTTTTTTGATTTTATTTTCCTTTTCGGCTGAGATTGAAATAAATTTGGAGAATCCTACCATGAATTTGAGATTCAATCAGACTCCATATTAGATTCAATGATTGAATCTCAATCCAATGAGGAGTTGGGATTGATCAGAAACTCTTATGATCAATTCCTATAAATAGATCCACGAATCAAAGGATCAACACACAGAAAAAGACAGACACTGGTTGAGAGAGAGTGAACAGAGAAGAAATATAAGCTAAAAAAGGGTTTTGGTGCGTTAGAATAGCTCTAGGAATTGGTATGGATTTTTTAGAATTTTTGGCGAATTTTTTTCTGGAAATTTTTGAAAAATTTTAGATTTCGGTTGAATTTTTCTATGAAATTTGAATTTTTCGTTGACTTTTTTGGCTAAGTTTGAATTTTTCGACCAACTTTCCAGTTTTCGATGACTATTTCTAGAAACCAATCAGTTTTCTGACGAACTTTAGACGAAAAACTCAGATTTCGACGAAAATTTTTAAATTTCGACGAGAATTCAACCAGAGTTCTTCGTCCGTTTATAGAGAAGAAAGAGGAAAAGAAGGGAAGAGAGAGAGATGGAAGGCTCGATCTGCTAAAAAATGAAGAAATTAGCCTTTTATACCTGCTGAAAATGACGTCGTTTTGGCTTTATTGTGTCTAGAGGATTCGCGCATTTTGAAATTGAGTGACCCGACCCGAGTGTCAATCCGCGTTCAACCCGAGTGCGAGCCTTTTCCCGAGCCGAGCCGAGCCGCTAAGCTGAGCCGTTCCCAGGTTTTTATTTATTTATTTTATTATTATTATTATTATTATTATTTATTGATTAGATTAGAATTGTTTAATACTTTTTATTTTATTTTTTTCTTTAATTTTTTTATTTTTTTATTTTATTTATTTATTTTCTTTAAATAAAATTTCAAAAAAAAAAAATTTTAAGGAAAAGTTGAAAGTATCAATTTTCCTTGAAAATAAGCTTTCTAAAAATATTTTTGGGGAAAAGTTGAAACTATCAATTTTTCTCAAAATTAAAATTTCTAAAAAATATTTTGAGAAAAAGTTGAAAATATCAATTTTTCCTGTACAAAAGCAATCATTTTTTTTATTTTCTTGAATTTTCTTTAATGTTGAATAATCCGACGATTGAGCCTCTGGAAGTGAAACAATAGTTTTCTTGCATACTCTTGAGGTGAGGGAATTTTTTCAATTTTTTGCTAAAAGTATTAGAGTCAATTGAGAATAATTTTCAATAATTAATTACTTGATAAATTTTTAAGGCTTATTGAATAACATAAAATTAAGCTGGTACCATCTTTTAATGGGCGTTGTGAGGGTATTATAACCTTTCTCACACGTAACCGAACTCTCAAATCCTGTTCTGATTAGTAGACCCGGACCTATTCTTTTAGGGACCCTTAAACTTAAGTGTTCCCTAAAAGGATAGATTCCTTAGGTGATCAATCGCACCTAGATAAAAAAGATCGGTAGTGACTCTTTAAGTCAATGTCTAGTGATAGATTCCTGGATCTAGACGTTATAACAGTGTTGAATTTCTCTTATTACTAATTTAGTCCATCAATTGCATATACCAATGATATTAGTCGTATTTGTATCAAATAAAATATCATCTTCATCTCTTTCATTCATTATCAATTGCATATATTCTTTTTTAATTTTGGAAAACTATTATTTTGATTCTTAGCAGCTGGTTAATGGTTGAAAGGGATGTTAATTAAAAAACACCCAATCCAGAGCTTTGAGGGTTTTTGTCAACAATTAATATTCTCTCTAAAAAATACCAATGTGACAAAAGTTCTTTTACCAGTTTCGTTCTACTTGATCAATAATTATAGTTTTGCCATTAATTTGTGAGATTTTTGTTCTACAATGGCCTTCTTCTAGAATTTGCTTTCAAGAATAATAAGTCTTATATTAAGTTAAGCGAATTAGAACTTTAAAATTGAGCATCCCATCAAATAGAACAACATTTTTATCAAGTAAAAATCAATAAAAATTATAATGACAATATTTAAATACTGCATTTTGTTTAACTAGATTATTTTATGAAGTATGAATTGATATATGTTCGCTTTGATGTTAAAACTTAAGGCACCTTTGATATTTATAATGTAACAGTAAAATAATCCTACATGAGGTTTCTTTATTTGTTTTATATTGTTAATTATTGTGTCCATAGAATGCAGAAATGAAAAAATTGAGTTGGGGTACTTCATTGTGGTATAAGTAAAAAATTAAACTATGGAAATGATATAATACCACTTGCTTTTATTTATTGAAAATATTAATCTTTATAAGATGATAAGTATATCTACTTTGCTACTAAACTTTACCATCTTAATTAATAACATAACATTGAGATGGAGATGAAAAAATTTTTTCCCTATAAGACTTTTGAGGACAATTATCTACAGTATCTACAACTTTTTTACTTTTTGAATCACATTGTTCAAATAATAAAAAAATTTATTTTCTTTAGTTTTGTAATATAAGAATTTTTTTCATTAAATACGGATATTTAAATATAAATGATATAATAATTAAAATGAAAATGAAATTATATATTTTTAATTATGAATGATAATTTAATTCATTTGTATTTCATTATATTTTTAAGTATTATCCAATTTATATCCTTAAGCCTAGGAATGTGTTTATTTTTCAAGACTTTCTATCATTTTGTAAATTTAAATACATTATTTTCAAGCCAAAATTTGATAATTACACAAAATTTGAAAATAGTTTATGAAGAGATTGATCATCCATTTTCAGTTAAAAAATTTTAAAAATAAAAATTTTAATATTTTCGAATAATACTTTTATATTTTGTTCATGTTTTTATTTAAAAAATAATATCATTTTATAATTATAAATAAATAAATAAATAAATTCGTACATCGCATGGATCACAAACTAGTTTAATAATATTTCTTATTACTTCAAAGTATTTAGGTTTTAAAAAAAATTAAATCGAATTCCTCATTAAGGTTTTTTATTTTTAATATTAATTTTGAGTCTATCTCTTTAAAATTTAAAATATAATTTTATAAAAGATATAATTCAAATTGTTTGTGTTATTTTAATAATAAAATCGATCCTAATAAGAAAAACAACCGAACATTATAATTAAAAATCAATTTTCAAAATTTTCATAGCCTATTTAGCAAATACTAGAAATTAAATTTTAGAGCAATAATAAAATAATCAAGCTGGGATACCTCAAAATTAGGTAGTACCTACTTTTTTTTTTTCTCTTTACAATCATATTTTTAGGGTTTGCTGTGATATAAATAATATGTTCCGTAACTGATACAAAAGTAGATTCTTTGCGTAAACAAAAATATGAAATTATTAAGCAAATCATTAATTCACAAAAAATAAATTATTCTAACAAGATTTACTAAAAAAAATTATTGTAACAAAAGACATAATTCTATAAAAATCAAGCAATTTACTCGATCTTTATCCTAAAAAAATATTTGATTTAAAAACACCGATTAAAATATCTTGATTTATGTCTTAACTACAAATTATTTGTATTTGATAATTTCTTTTGAAGTGATTTATCACTTAATTAAAATATTTTTTTTTGGAGAAACAAGGATTTTACTTCTAGAAGTATAATAACCTATCTCTTATGATAACTACGTTAGTAGGTAAAAGTCTAAAGAATTCAAAGCTTTAAACGTAATACTACTAAAAGGAAGAGCTTTATTTCATATATGTCGAAGTCAAAATTGGATTTTTTTATAATCCAATAATTTTCTCTTACATACAAAATCTAGAGTTTATTATAAAATGAAAATCAGTTCCAACTATTGAATGCTGTGCTGACTGCCTCAAGTTTGAATTGAATTCAATGCTAAAATTTTCCCAATTGATATCCTTCTTATGGTTTATTCTATTATTCAAAATTGTAATTTCGAGAACTAAGAAATAAGTATATTAGATAAATTTATATATTAAAATTATTAATTATTTTATTTTATAAAATTTCATATAATAATTATAATTAAATAAACGAACCATATGAACATATTGCAGGTAAAAATAGCCAACAGAAGAGTTTGGGACGGGGGAAAACGTTGAGAGCCCACGGAAAGCAGCGTGTGGGAAAATGTAAAACATGACCAGCTTTTGGTGTGTAGAAAGAAACAGCTTGGAATTGGAAGCATTTGGATTTTGAAATCAGTCGTCCACATAAAAGGAAAAACTGCCTTATTAAAACATATGAATCTGATGTAAAAGTACGGCTACCTACCAAAGCTAGCCCTATTTCCAACCACTCGTCTCTCTAACTAACGTGGTCAAATCCCTAACCTTAACTTGACTGTTTGTGTTTGGGATTAAATTTAAATATTAAATATATTATATTCGAATTTAGAAGTTAAAAATTAAATTATAGCTTTTTATTAAATTATAGATTTTTTAAATTTTTATAAAATAATAATAATAATAATTTTATATTTAAATTTATTTAAATATATTAAAAATTATTTTAAAATAATATCAAAAAATAAATTTTTAAAATTTGATAAATCCAACCAAACTATATTAAAAAAATTTGACTCAAATCCAATTAATTCCAAAATAAATTTTAAAAATTTATAATAATACTATATATTAACTAAAATAATCAAACCGAACCGTCCACCCCACCTCCTCATATACAGAGTCTACCGGCTCCTCCCCCCATTCTCTCCCCATATAAATCCTCTCCTTCCACTCCTTTCAACAACAACATCATCTTCCCATCAGTTTTCAAATCCATGGGCCGATCACCCTGCTGTGAAAAAGCACACACCAACAAAGGTGCCTGGACCAAAGAGGAAGACAAGCGCCTCATTGATTACATCCGTGTTCATGGTGAAGGTTGCTGGCGTTCCCTCCCCAAAGCTGCTGGTAAAACAACTTCACTTTCTAATTCTAACTACTAATTCAATTATTTCCTTCTTCTTAACAGGTATTTGGTTTCTTGGTTTATTTATACAGGGCTGCTTAGATGTGGCAAGAGTTGCAGATTGAGATGGATAAACTACTTGAGGCCTGATCTTAAGAGAGGAAATTTCACTGAAGAGGAGGATGAACTTATCATCAAGCTTCACAGTTTACTTGGAAACAAGTGGGTTTAAAAGATTTTTCCAGGGAAATAAACTTTTGCATCTTTATTCCAATTTCATCATGTCTGACAGGTTTCATGTTCTTGAATTATCTATTGGCAGATGGTCTTTAATTGCTGGAAAATTACCAGGAAGAACAGATAATGAGATCAAGAACTACTGGAACACACACATAAAAAAAAAGCTTATAAGTAGAGGAATCGATCCACAAACTCATCGTCCTTTGAATGAAACTGCCAATACAAACAACACCGCTAAAGCCACAGACCCTACTGAATTGGATATCAGAAACGCACCCAGAGTTTCAAAATCCAATTTTATGACAACCCCATCTCTGAATTTCAAACACGATGAATTTCAAGATAAGGCCAAGACTGAGTCTCTTGAAGAAGGAAACTGTGCCAGCAGTGGCATGACTACAGAAGAAGAACAACAACAGTTACACCAACACAAGGAGAAGCATCCGAGTAATGGGCAAGAGTTAAATTTGGAGCTTTCAATTGGGATTAGTTCAGCTGGCAAGAACTCGAACTCAACTCGGGTTTCCAGCTGTGCCAACTCCGCCGAGTCCAAACCAAAGCTAGATAACAACAATTTCCAGTTTCTTGGACAAGCTATGATGGCCAATGCAGTCTGTTTGTGTTGGCAATTAGGTTTTCAAAGAAGCGAAATTTGCAGGAATTGTCAAAACACAAATGGGTTCTATAGATATTGTAGACCTTTGGATTCATAGGGGCCAATTTTATTCTTTTTTTTTTTTCTTCTGTAATCAAAGCTAATTACAAAACAATATGTTTGCAATCATCACATGTACATGGAAAAAAACACCATTAATTACTGCTCTCTGCACAAATTATTCAATGCTTTTGGATTCTTTTGATTTGTTTTATTGGTTCAGCGAACATAACCACACCTCCATGTCTGTTGAAAGAAATCATTTTAATGAACCCTTGGCTCATAATTTTATCTGTTGGATCAATGAACAGACAATGAACTAGATTTTAGATTACATTTTAACCCTTTCCTAATATTCCAAAAAGCCAAAGTTTTACAATTACACTTTTGTGGTTAATTGGCATTGATAAATAAACAAAAAGGAGACAAGTTGATTCATCAATGGAAATATATATATATATATATTTGTTTTTGAAATTGTTTGGATTAAATTTTCATCATTAAAATTAATTAAAGTCCGACACTATATTAATAGATCTCAGGATCATTAACTTTTTGTATTCCTAAACTTAAGTGGTTTTGCACTTGAATTTTATCCATATTTTTTTACTTCATCATAGATAATTCCTAATACCTATACAGCTTATACTTGGGATTAAAGCAGCTTCTCTTATGAAGACTTTGTTAATAAATAAGGCTGTATGGAAAGATAAAAGAAATCAATTATGTGTTGTGTACCGCAATCAATTGGTCAATTATATGTTATACCATATATTAAGTTATTGTTATTTTTTTTTACGTAAGTGATAGTAGTTTAAAAATATGAAAAAAATTACAAATATTAGAATTAAAAATTTAAATTTATTAGATATTATTTTTTTACATATAATTATATAAATCAATTGAATAAAATTTTGAATTTTAAATATTTATTTATTTGAACAAACGTGGCTTACCGAATTTTGAAACATTTACTATCTTTCTTCCATTGATATAACAGTAGCCAAAGACTTGTTTATTAAAAAAAAAATTTAGAATGCAGTGAATTAGACATGTAGGGTATTAATCATTATATAATAAAAAGGTAATGATGTCATGTCAACATGCAAGCTTTGGTATGAAATGTGAGGCTTAAGGGATATCCATGTGATGGTCAAATTGTTTAAGTTAGTATTATATAATAATAATGGAGTAATTGGTTTCTTTAGGCTGTCTAGTTTAAAAGCCGAGTTTGATGACAATGTTGTCATCAAAGACAGTGACCACTCAATGAAACAAAGTCCATGATTTTAAGGTTGGCTGGACATTGACATTGCATTCTGCACAAAATGCATGCGTTGGGAACAACAATTTCTTTGAAAAGATCACTGTTTCAGCCTTTAAGCTGCTGCCTGGATGGCTAATTTCTTTATTCGGCGGAAACTTTCGCAGTTTTTTTTTTTTTTTTTAAATATAAACATTTTGAGTTACATAATAATTAATATATTTTTAATTTTATAAATTTCTTTCCATCTATAGTTGGATTTGAGCTTGAAAACTTCAACGTGAAATTACTTGGAATTGGTTGTGTGGTTAAGATGATGTACTAATCTAAAAGATAGACTTACACGTTAGGATTTCATTGAAATAAGGGGTTATCGCCTCCAACTACCTCATGGGGTATATTTGAGTAGCATCGCAATAAGGACAGATTCAAAATTTATGTTTTGTGAGAGTAAATTTATTATATTAATGATTAATGTATTGGTATAATAATTATAATTTATATTGTAAATTATTATTTTATTCATTTTTTATTTTTAATAAATTTATATATTTTTTAATATTATAAAAATTTTAAGTTTTTTTTTATAATTAATGGGTTTAAAACAAAAAATAAAAAATTTGAATCTATTTCTAATAATTTTACTTTATTTTTTTAATATTTTAATGAAATAAAATAAAAAAATTGTTAAGATTTTGAATAATTTTATAATGATTAAAATTAATTTTCGGGATTCCTCTAGGGATAGTTGCTCTCGATACTCCCATCCTGGATCCGTTCCTAATTCGAACGATACAATTGATGGCCAAAAACCCTCACCGCTCATCTAGTCTACAATTAAAGGAGAAGTGTTCGGTGAAGGATAGAATCTCATAACAGTCGACTGTTTGCTTAGGACAATTAAGAAGATTTTTAGGTATGGCAGTCAAATGATTTTGATAGGAAAATCTGATTTTTATATTCTCATTATAATTATTGTACTTATATTAAAAAATATATATTTTTATCGTTAATTTTAATTTTGTTGTTATGTATAATATTTAATTTCATAATTATCGTTATTATATTAGATTCAATCTCGTCCCCTATTTTAATTGACATATTTGAATTCCTTTTCTTTAAAATTCTTCAAATCAAAAAAAAAAAAAAATTAGTTTTTTCTTTTTTATAGAAATGAAAGTTCTTCACCTAAAAGAATTGTTTCCTAACATGCTGCTAGAAAGTGAAGATGATATTAGGAGATAGAAAAAAGGCGGTCAACCTAATGAGCAGATTGATGCAACCAAAATTTCGGTGGGTTAGATTGGATACGATTGGTATGTATCACACGTTAAATGAGCATTTTTTTTAATTCAATCCCAATTATAAAAGGTAGGCATCTCCGTGTGTACATTAAAGGGGATGGTGTCCAATGGATATTGAAGAACATATTCAGCTGAATCAGCTTTCATCAAAACCATCAACTTTAGGTTAAAGTTGGTAAATTATTCCAATTCAAAAAAGTTGAATTTAAATCCATCTCAACTTAATTTGATAAAACTTATTAATAATTTAATTTCAAAACAATTTAAATTTAACATAAATCAAATTCAAATGACCGGAAACACTAATATGATATAATAGAAACTAAAAATTGATTTAATTATAAATTTTAATTATTTAAAATTGAAATGACTTAAAATTAAAATAATCCTAACTCAAACTCACTTAAAATTTTTTTATTCAAAATAACTCTATTTAAATTCGATCAATCACTAAATTCATCATATTTCTCTGTTGCTGCCCTTAGACCATGGCCATAGTTTACCCATTTTTTTTTTATAAAACCAAATGTCTTAAATATATATATTCTCATATTTGTTTTTAACATTCCATGTTTCATTAAGCTCTTTGCAATAAAGTGATTCAGGCTAATTACCCCATTGATACTTGAGCAATACATGTGAATCTTTTTGAAGAAACATGAATTACCAACTCAATGATTATTTTTATTCAATCTTTTTGAAGAAAAAAACACAAAATATTATGTAAGAAAAAGTTAAAAGAGAGAGAAGAAGAAGAATAAGAAAAAGAAGCTGACAGTGAATAAATCATTCGATTTAATCGTATGTTCAACGCCCACAATCTTATACTAAGAATTCAAAAATCAGGGTTCTTTGGTGAACCTGGTTTAATTATAAGTTGTGGGCCAAAGAAATATGTACATATATATATATATATATTATAGGAAAAAGTAACGTGACAAGAAGAATATATTCAGAAAATTTATTTAAAATTTCTTGTCATACGATTAAACTCAAATAAACATGTGAGACTGAGGCCTATCACCTATGGGGCTGATAGTCAAGATTATTGGGTACTTTATGTGTATTTATAAAGATGAGTTGTATTTGAATAGAATATAAATTAATTAATTAATTTTTTTATATTTATGATTTAATAAATTTTGAAATATTATTTATAATTTTTTATTAAATTTAATAAATAAATAAAAATTAAATTTATTTATAAATTTTTTGTCAAATGTTTTATTTGTTTATATCTTCAAGTATAAATGAATCAAATATAAATAAAATTTATTATATTTATAATTTATTATTTTAATTATAATGAATTTTAAAATATTATTCCTGATATATAAAACTTAATAAATGAATATAAATAAATAAAACTTAAATTTATTAACGAAATGTTCGTTTATAACTCTAAAATTAAGAGAGTTAATAATTTATTTATTTATTTATAGAAAGTCAATGACGCTGCGATAGCCGTAAGTTTGGCCTTTGATTTGTTTATATATAAGCATCTTTCTTTGATTGGAGGAGAGAGAAAGGAGAGGAAGAGAAAATGGAGGTGGAGAGATGAGAGAGAACATGTGACATGTTTGGGAGGTAGGTAACCGAATCTTCTATATAATAGAAAAAGGAGAGAAGTAGAGAAGAGAACAGTTTGGTTAGTTAAAGGTTGGTGGGGCAAGGGAAAATAAGAAAGTGCAAATACAGTCGGCAGAAGATGGAGTCGTGTGCAAATACAGTCGGCAGAAGATGGAGTCGTGTGCAAATAAAGTGAGGTATGGGAATGGGATTCCAGCTTTAATGGGAATAGGAATAGGAATGGAATTGGGTATCAGGGGATTTTATAAAACCACCCAAACATCATCTCCTTTTCAAGAAAACTATATATTTCCAATCCATTATCACTTTTATAATTGAGTTGAGTCAAGTGTTGAGTTTTATTTAAAATTTATTATTTAAAATTTAATTCAAATTCAATTGAATTTTAAATTTTAATTTAATTTGAAATAAAAATTAAATTATTTAAATTCGTTATAAATTCATTTTTCAAATTAAAAAATAAGTTCAATTTTTATGATCAATTTTGAGTTTAATTATTTGTATTCGAATTTGAGTTCAAATTTAAATTCGACTTTAAATTCATATATATATATATATAAGTAAAATAATAATTTTTAATTAAATAATAAATTATATATTAAAATATAAAAATTTAATCAAATTCACTAAAATTATATATTAAAATATTCAAACTCAACTCATTTAATAAATAAAACTAATCAAACTTAACTCAATAATAATCAAATTAAATTTAAATTTTATATAAATTAAATCCAAATAATATACGAACATTGGTATATTATTTACACCCATAACCATCATCTCTTAAATGTTGCTAACCAAGCTTTTGGTTCTGTCGGGATGTAGACTCAAGCTCTGTGTTGCTACTCCTTTCTCACTTTAATTTATTTAACTTTTAAAACAGACCAAATAATTTTTTATGCATGATTATAGCATTAAATAATTTTTAAAAAAAAAACAAGTTTTCACGTTCTCGATCAAGTTCATGCACATCCCGTTACATGTTATTTAGTATTCATTTCGTTTGTTTTTATTTTGTTTATGCATG